TTAAAAATCTGTAAGACAGCTTTTGAGCTATTTTTGATTTCACATTTTCTTAGTTTGCGAAAAATCTGTCGTACAGATTTTTATTTTACTTTGCATGAAAGTTGACTCAGAGCCAATTTCTTATTCCTGAAATTTTGAGGTGGGGTCATATGGGTAGATTTTGAGAAAAACTAGATTTAACCTGCTAGTGCCCAGTCTCTCCTTAAGTACTTGGTCGTTTATGTTGACCATTTGTTGACGTTTGTTCAAGTTTCACATAGAATGATAAAAGACTTAAATAAACAGTAAATAGAGAGAGAAGAAACATCTTGGAACATTTTTCAAAAGAGTTAGAAGTTGGGCTGTTATAATCCATCAAAACTGTAGTAAGCCACCTTAAAAGCACATTTCCAGTTTACAGACGCAACATAATATACTAACTTTATTTCAAAAGCAAGTCAGAAAGGATGATATATATTTCTTAAAATTCATGGAATTGTAAGCTAGTCTTCACATGTGACTAATGTTTGTAAGTAACAGTTCTAGTATTGGATCTGATAGCGCAAACTCTCAATTAAGTCTTGACATTCTTTGATTATGATAGCTTGAGAGAGAATAGTAACAAGCACTAAAGTCAACACATACTTCTAGCTGACAGATCTTCAAACATGCCATATGGTAGACCACGAGTTACAATTTCGGAAAGTATAATTCCATAACTGAAGACATCTCCAGCCTGTGATCGGGGAAATTGTTCATTAAAGATGTGTTCTGGTGCTGTCCAAAGGCTGTCTGCAAAGAAGGGAATCAATATTAATCAAAACAAATATAATACATCTAGCAAGCCTAAAAGCGGAGCTCCTGGGCTGGGTTGTTCCATAATTTTGTTGAGATTCAAGGCTAATTATCTCAAAAAAATGCGTGGCTACCCCCATTTTTCTTTGTGGATTCCAATAGTCCTTGCAAAGATCTACTTTTTCCTCATGGTCCTAATCTGGCGCAAAAACCTTTGTATTTAGTAGGCACCGCCCTTAAAGCAAAAATGGTACTCTTAACATTAAGTCAACAACATAAAACTTTCAGAAAATTATAAGTTACCATAATACTTGGCTTCTGTTCCTGCTTCCACATCAACCTCTTGTCCCTCTTTGAACAGAAACAGTCCATGATCAGTTACTTTGCATGTCCAGCGACTGTCAATGAGTACGTTTGAAGATTTCAAGTTGCCATGAATCTGAACTGGACTATTCTGCAAGAAGTGCATGCCCTGTTGGGGGGAAATTGAAACATATTTTCTTTGATCACAAGTAAGTATTTCAGGATTATTGTTTTTGAATGAATAAATTACTGCAATTAGTGATGGCATCTAAGTGAACATGTATGTATTAAGATTCCTTTACCAATGGAAACTGACAGTATTGTGTGAAATAGACTACCACTTTACTGCCAGATGCACTTTTATTCTTTTGACAATAAGAGATTGATTGTTTGTATTAAATAAGGGATTGCACACTCCAGCTAGCAATGAAATACAACTGAAGATGACTGACACCAATCCACCGTAGGAAAAAAGATGGCAGATGTACATTTTACCACAAGGCCTTGCAAACCTAACACAGACTAAAAGGCATGAAGAAAACCAAATTATTACAATATACATCTCTGTACTAAGGACATTAAGTAGCCTAGGTTTGAAGATTGTATAATGTTTCTGTGTGTTTTTATGAACATTGTTAAGGTTTTCGTGCGCTAAGAACTATGGGTAAATGTACAAGTCACCATCTTTTTTCCTACGGAGGATTATTTATACAGTCAGATATACATACTCTTGCAATGTCAGATGAAATAGACATTTGAAACATCCAATCCAATTTCAGGCTGTCATTATGTAACACATCCTGCAAAATATGAGACATAAATTGGATCATAAATACAGTTCAGGACATTTATGCTCATTCAGATTTTTTTTAAACTCTTGCTGTACTTCCAGGTAATCAGGCCAAGTGTTGTCAGAAATAAAAAACAAACAAACAAGCAAACTAATTAACTAACCCCTTCCCTTAAAAAAAGACAAAAGGCCAAAAAAAAAAAAATACAATTGAAAATGTGGGTTGGGGTTGGGAGATCACTGTCCTTGTTACGGAGTTACAGCATGATAAAGACCATCTTTTTCCTAGTAGCTTTAGTCAAGTAATGCAATATCCACTTCATTACTTTCAGTGTCAAAACAAGTAACATTGAGATCTCTAGATAAAGTTGATGTGTTTGTTTTAATGCAAATAGGCCTATTATGAAATTTTCCAGCTAGATATTATAATTCTTTTCTGTAGATTGAGCCCTACAAAACGGATCATACTAAGTAAGGAATGCACACCCAAATTGTTAAGCAATTCAGCTATGTTACATTTATATATATATATTTGGAAAAGGAGACACATCATGAATGTAAATAAGTAATGTACTGGTACTTCAGTACTTCAATTCATATTTCTGTAATTTTATGTTACCTGTAGACTTCCTTTGGCACAGTACTGGCTTAAGATGCAAATGTTACCAGGCTCAACACAAGCACCGATAAAGGTGTTGATATTCTGGTGGGTGAGATCTTTCATCTTCCAAAAATATACATGTATATGTATTAATAAGATTAATACATTACTTCTCTGTTAGTAAAACTAGCTTTTACTCTTTTGAGTAAGCAATGTGCTGCAACTGAGCAGTTTAGAGCATTCATAAAAAATGAGGCAATTTGGTCAGATTGTTTATGTACCATTCAGTTGCAAACCTACAGATGAGGCCCAGGAAGCAACTGCTCTCCCCCTTATGCCTCAAAAATACAAGTGAGGCTCAAAAGGCGAAAACATTTTCAGAGCAAATAGAAGGGCCTCTGGGCAGTTCTCTACATCCCCAACCTTTTTTGAACAGCTTTGAATTTGCTTTCTGAATACTCCTAACTGTACAAAGACTTCAAAACAGACTGTTTTGGACGTTTCTCCTTTCAGGTCAATTACATGGTGCTGGTCACAAATGCATGTATTGTAAATAGCAAATAATCAAACAAAATTTATGCAATCAATCTTACTTCCTTTAGCTCCAACAACACATCACGTTCCAGAACAACTTTTGCCTTCTGTAACTTTTTAACTGCCACTGAGTTGCCCTATATAAATTTCAAGAGAAGTTGTTTTACCTAATGAAAATATCCTAAAAATATAGTACATTGGTCAGCAGTTGATAGTTAACTATTGCAGGTGCCCATTTATTAAGTGGTTTTGCATGTTTTATAAATTTAATGCATCATAGTTGTGTAATAAGATATTCACCTCATAAATCCCAAGGACTGTAAAAATTTGCCCTCGTAGCTCTTCCATTGATCCACGTTCACTTCCAGCCATGCTTACCTATAAAGAAAGTCACATTTTAAAGACATCAAACAAGCAAATTAATGGAATTAATTTTTAACACTCTCTTTTAGACATTACGTAGAGTCACTCATAGATGGTCACTCCACATGCTGTTAATCAGTGATACCCACATTGACTTAAGCCAGTAGAGAAAGTGGTCAGTGTGTATTATTGCTATAAATGCAACAGAAATTAGCCATTCAAAAGAAACATCAGGGGCCCGTTTCTCGAAAGTCCCAAAAATTTTTCGCACCCAGAAAGCCATAGCAAAATCTCAAACATTATGACTACAGGGCTGATTTATTCACATATTCTTAATAGAAACAGAGGTTTCATTCCGTACAAGAAGTTTTAGGCACATACACTTCTTTGTCTTTGAACACTGGTTAACTAAAAATGGTTTTTTGGGCTCAAAAATTTTCCGAGGACTTCGAGAAACGGGCCCCAGGTCTGGAAATTTACATTTTCAGTTACAACGATGTGCTACAAGTCAGGCCTTTTCATGTCTAGTACAGCAAATGTAAGGAACATTTACTGATAACAACCATTAATTATTTACAAGTTCATTTCCCATTTTCTAATTGGGAGATTTTCCCACTTTGAACTTTTTTTTTCTAATCAAAGTAGTGTCTTAAGTGAATGATGCAGATGTAGCAAGTTTTTCAACTAACCATGCTCTTCCTACTTCCTAACTTTCCTTTATTCTTTGGCCATTTGATGTCTTCATATTTTATTTTCCATGTTTGAGCTAATAAAGCTGCCTCAAAAGCTTGTTTTCTGTCAGAAAATAAAATAAATGGGACAAACAAAAATGGTGAACATACTCTTTCAATCTGGCTTCAATCCGGTTGATTCCAGAGAAGCACTAAAAGTGGAATGATACTTAGAGAACACAGCAAATCAACAATCCTGATGGGATTTAAACAAAATGTAGCAAAATAACAGAATGAGAGGGATTCCATTTATCTAAATCTTGAAAACAAACATGTTTAAAGAATATGACCTGAGCATTACAGTTAGTGAGAGGTTTGAGTTATTGAGGGTTCAAGTTTAAGGGAATCAATTTTAGTTCGAGTTAGTGCACAATTCTGGTTTCCTGGGGTTTACGTTAACAGGAGTTAACTGTACCCATGGAAAATCTCAGATACAATAGGGCCATTTATACAAGGAAAATAAGCCACAGCTTACTTAAGTGGGCTTACATAAGGCTTACATAAGACACGAACTTACCGTATAAATGGTACATTTTAGCCAGTTCATGTCTTACATGAGCCATGGATAACATAAGCCACGACTTGTGTAATACTAGTGTTTCAAGCTTGGCTTAAATAAGCATGGGGCTTATATAGGATGTGAAATCACTTGTATAAATGGTATCACGGCTTGTTTGCAGCTTACGTAAGATGCAAACTCAGACTGTGCAAGCACAATTTTTCCCACACTTACGGAACAGCTCACACAATTCTGTGAATGCTATGACAACCAACACAAAAGTGAGGCCACAAATAAGCCGCGAACCATTTATATGAACACTTTGCATCTTTAATAAGCCATGCTCGCATAAATGGTCCAGTTCGTGTTGTATGTAGGCCATGGCTTATTTTTCTCATATAAATGGCCCTAATGTCCTTTACCAAAACTCTTTGGCGTAAATTATGGATTGCTTTTATCACTTTGTCTTGAGATTACCACTTCTTTAAATAGTATAGTGTCTCAAAGTTTACTATTCTCACCTCTGCCACAATAAAAATCCAACCAGAATTGAAACAATCAGCACAAAGACAAGGCTTCCAGCCAAGATATATGGCCATGTAGGATCGTCCTCTAGGATGATGAAAGCATCGTTTTTGTTTGTTTATTTTGGTTATAATGTGATGAACAGGTATATTCTGAAGATTAGCTCTGCTTAACTGACTGTCGATCAAAGGCTGCTGATCTACAGAATAACTTACAGGCTCCTGACAAGTTACCAACAGTTGGCCAGTGTGCAGTTCCAGAAAATATCCATACCCACCCCAAGGAAGGTTAACAGAAATTCCAAGGGAGAGGAGGGTTTCAAAAGCCAAAATTGTTAAGAAAGTATGATCTATTTGAGGACAGATGTATAGATGCATGACAGCATAAACATTTTTTTGTGTGTCTTTTATATA